ATACAACACACACACACACACACGCAAAAGAAAAACCCATGAAGCACTGTGTAAGATATGAAAATAATAATTTATCATCTATCAGGGGTCCAGGAGGGTGGGAGGGTAAGGCAGGGAGGGAAAAAAGAGGAGCTGATATGAAGGGCTCAAGCAGAAAGAACATGTTTTGGAAACAATGATAGCAACATATGTACAAATGTGTTTGATACAGTTGATGTATGGATTGCTATAAGCTGTAAGATCCCCAATAAAATTATTTTTTTTTAAATGAAGCAGAAAAGGAAAACCCGTAAAGCACATTTTCAGTCTGACACACGTGGAATCAAATGGAGTCTAGCATCTAACAAGTTAGCTGTGTTCTGTTCCATGACCAATGATCTTGTGGCCACAACACCCTAGTTATATCATTTTATGTAAGCTCCTATAAGTGACCCATATGTTCTATCTCCCACCCTTTGTTCCTACAAACGTTATTGATTTTTTAAAATATAGACTTATTAAAATTAATTTGGTGTAGTGTATCTCCCCTATTGTCCTTAAAAGTTGTTCATACTTCTCCCAACTACCACTTCCCAACCCAGGAAATAATGAAGCTCTAGAGAAAATGCCTTTTTCATGAAATACTTTTATTGGGGGCTCTGATATTTCTTACCACAATCCATACATTCATTCATTGTGTCAAGCACATTTGTACATATGCCGGCATCATCATAGAAAATGCTTTTCATAGATTATCCCCTAGGGAATTTTCAAAGGTCACAGGCTCTTTCAGTCATAAAGGGTCTTGATAACATTGTTGGTAGACAATACAAAGAGTTAGTCTAACCTTGACATCAAAATTTCCTCTCAGTTCCACTTCAGTCCTTACATATATCATAAATGTGTGATATATAAATGTTAAGTTGTACATTATTAAAATAGTAGACAGACATTTCAATCAATTAATAGCTCATGGGTACCAATGACAAGTCTTTCACCCCGTTGTTTGTCATCTCCATCTCTTTAATAGTCAAGGTTTCTACTTCTTCACATGATTAGTTCCACTTGACATCACTACCATTTGTTGTTGTCACATCAACTCATTCATGGGGACCCCACGTGTGTCCGAGGTCACCTGCACTCCATCGGGTTTTCAAAGACTGCTGGTTCTTTGGCAGTAGCTCACCAGATCGTTCTTCTCAGACAACTTTAGGCGAATGCAAACTGACAGCCTTTTGGATAATAGCCAAGCACGTTCACTGTTCGCACCACCGAGGAGCTAGTTCCACTTTAAAGGACACCTATTGATTCAACATGCTCAGCTAAAACCAAAACTTGACTCTTAAGTGACCCTGTAGAGCAGCGGTTCTCAACCTGGGGGTCGCCTGATTCCTAACAGTAGCAAAATTACAGTTCTGAAGTAGCAACAAAAATAATCTTATGGTTGGGGGGGTCACCACAACATATGGAACCGTATTAAAGGTTTGCGGCATTAGGAAGGTTGAGAACCATTGTTGTAGAGTGTTTCTGAAACTGTAAGTTTTCACAGGAGCAAAAACAATCTCTTCGTTTTCAACACTGAGCAGCGGATAGGTTTGATTGAACTGCAACCTTAAGGTAGCAGTCCAATACCTAACCCACAGTACCATCAGGGTTCATTAACCTGTAAAATATGCAGATCTGATTCACTCTCTCAATTCCATTCTCTTATTATTTTAACTTCTCCTGTTTATTACCCTTATAAATTTAAGTACTCAAATCTTTTTTTTCCACTTAACATTGAAAATCCTTCCTTTCTAAGATTAAAATGTGAATACCTTTGACCATTTCTCTACTCTCCTTCCCTCACCTTCTGGCCTTCATCTTTTGTTAGCGACACAGTTTTAAAAGGGTTTATTTTGGCATAACATACATAACAGAAAGTGCACACGCCATAAACAAACAGCTTAATGTGTGTTCACAAATGTAACACACCTGTGCCACCAGCATCCAGGTCAAGGGACTAACCATTACTAATATGTCCAGAAGCCCTGCTCCCTGTCCCTTCCAGTAACTGCTTTGCCCAACTGGACCCACTGTGTCACCTACATCTTGATATTGTCAAGGTTGTTCCCATTCAAATGCTGCTTTTCAGCTGAAACCCAGTCAGTCCTCTGTGTTTTGTCTATACATTTACCATAATTGTGAAGACCCTGAAGTTTCATCTTAATTTGGCTCACTGCTGTGTCAAGTAAAGTCTTGGGACTAAGTTTCTTCTCTTCATACCCATTGCCATGCACTCTTAAAATTATACAGAATTTTATACTCTTAAAATCACACTGAATTTTGTCTGCTTTCAATTTGGATTATAATTTTCTCATACAAGCATTCTTTTTTCCTGGTACTGTATTTCTAACTGACTTAGATCTTTCTACTCCTTGCATTATATGAAGGAGACTTGGTAGCACAGTGAGCTAAACACAAGGTTGGTGGTTCAAACCCCCCAACCACTCTGTAGGAGAAAGATGAGATTGTCTGTTTCCATAAAAATGTACAGCCTTGGGAACTATGGGACAGTTCTCCTCTACCCCACAGGGTCCTTATAGTCAGAGTCAACTGAATGGCAGTGGGGTTTTGGACACTGGTGCCACCCAGTAGCTGCTCCAAGGTTAAAAGATGAGGCCGTCTGCAGATGAGGCCATCTGCTTCCATGAAGAGTTGAAGTCTTAGAGAGTTGCTGTGAGTCAAAACCGACTGGAGAGCAGTGAGTTTGGGTTTGGGGACTATTTATCACATTCTTTTAATTTTTTAAAACATTCCAACCAAAAATCTCAATTTCCCAGATGCCTCAGTTCTGAACTCCTCCATCTTTCTGTTTCAAGATGAACAAATTTCCTTCTTGGTAATATTGTATCTTGTGGGGGGAGGTCAGACGCTTGCAGACATTCCCCACCTGAGGGCGATCAGTTGCCAGACTGCAGTGGGCCCTGCTCCCTGCTGCTAAAGACAATGAACAGGGTTGCAGTCATCTATTTGGTTCCTGTAGGTTGAGTTTACATGCTGCTGATAATGGTTCATGTGGATATCCAGAAAAGAGGTCAAAGTTAAGCTGCCATCCTAAATCTAGAATCCGCCCATCTTGTCGCATGTATACTCCCAATCTCTCCTCTTCCTATTGCGTGTATGTCCCTAGACCACCCCCTCTCGTTGCTGTATAACCTATAGTGCAACCCCTTCCTGTGACGTATGTCTTTACCTGTAATTAGTGGGCTTGCACACCCCCAAAAAGTATATAGGCCTGGACTAGCAATAGAGCTCTCCACCCAGTCTCTCCCTCGCCTCTCTTACCCCCCTCTGCTCTCCCATCCTCTCTCCCTTGTTCCCTTTCCCCTCTCTCTGCGTGGATCACCAGGCGGGGCTGAGGTGAGCAATGTTACCATGTAATGTGTCTGACTGCATTCTTGTAATATCTCTTCTATCGCTCATGCTCTCGATGACTTTAATATAATACTTATATATGTCAACCGTACAATTGTGCTTACTGAACCCATCGGTAGTGGTGGGGGGCTGGCCCCCCTCACTTTACACTATAATATCTTCCTTTCACGATCCTATGAGTCAGATGTACTATTTTCTAGGATCCTATTTCTTTCTATTCATTAGTATAGTACTTGCATAATTTCATATCAACTTAAACATATATAAAAGTATAGGGGTGGAGTTTAGCATGGTCACAATCAGGTCACAGTCTGATAGTGCCTCCTTGTGGGCATGGCCGTCTCATAAGGAGGGTCCTGGGAAACCACCCCCACCTCCTCTCTCCATTCACCTTCCTGCTGACTGACCCTGATGGTTGCCAGAGCCACTGCCATTGGATCCACATGACTTTGCACCCACTGCCCTGTGATCTTCCTGTATTCTGCATCATTGCATGTGGCTGTATGAGTCTGAAGAGAGGCTTCTGGACTAGTATGGAACTTAAGGACTTGATTTGTACTGGGCTGGGATGTTTTCTTGATGTAAAATTACTTATTGATATAAAGCTCTTTCTTATACACATGACTGTCACTGTGCTAGTCAACCCGGACTAGCACAATTAGCTTGCATATCCTCAAGTAGCTTCCTATAAGAGAAAATATAGGACTGAAAATTTCTGAGACGTTACCTGTTTGAAAAACATTTTTACTTTGTCCTCACATCTGAGAGATGTTTATATGGGTGCTGAACTTTACGGTCAGAAACATTTTCTCATAAGGGCAGAATAATTTCTCCACTATGTGCAGAGTAGAGGAATCTGAAGTCAGGATGATTCCTGTTCTTTTAACTGGCTTGTTTTGTCTCTCTGGGAGCTTTTGAACTTTTCTTTTTCTTTAACCTTATGTTTCACTAGGATATGGCTATTTTCTTCTTCTTCCCCAAATTCGCCTTTAGTTATTTTTCCTATTTTTTTGTTTTTCCCCTTTGTCTTCTTATTTAAAAACAAAAACACACTCACTGCCATCGAATCAACTTTTACTCAAGCAAGTATATACACGAGTGAAAAAAATCTCATCTCTTTCCCATGGAGCTGCTGGTGGGTTTGAATTTCTGATCTTTTTGTTAAGAGCCTAATGTGTAAGCCACTGTGCCACAAGGCCCCTTATCTTTCTTCATAGTTTGGGTCTTTTCCATGATTTTACGTTCCAATTTTTAATATTTTATTTTGGAAATCTCTTTTAAAAAATCCTTGAAAGCCTTTTCTTGTTTTCCAATAGTTCTCTTTTATAACATTCTCCTCTTGTTTTATTTACGCAGCATTGCCTTGAATTTCTTTGCATAAAAATAAGATTTCTGGGGGTCTCTTCCTCTCGAGAGGCCTGGAAGTCAGACCTGTAGCCACCCCACCTCTCCCCGTCACCCTCGCCGCCTCTTGGGGCCGAAGCACGGCATAGAGGCTGTTGGTGGCCTTCCCACCCCACCCACCCCGGATCGCGGCCGTTTTCAGGGACTTGGATTCATCAGGGTCTCCACCGGGCCCGTGCGAGTGCTGATCTGCTTCGTTTTTGCAAAAGGCGCCTGTGTCTGGCAGAGCCGGTGTGAGACGAAGAGACAATCCTTCCCTGCCCGCCGCCCGGATAATCAAAGAGTTTTGGCTGGACCTCCGAGCGCACACCGAGATAGTGCGGAGCCAGACGAAAAGCACAGACTATGGCGCTGAAACGGATTAATAAGGAACTTAGTGATTTGGCCCGTGATCCTCCAGCACAATGTTCAGCAGGTCCAGTTGGGGATGATGTGTTTCATTGGCAAGCCACAATTATGGGACCTAATGACAGCCCATATCAAGGCGGTGTATTCTTTTTGACAATTCATTTTCCTACAGACTACCCCTTCAAACCACCTAAGGTTGCATTTACAACAAGAATTTATCATCCAAATATTAACAGTAATGGCAGCATTTGTCTCGATATTCTAAGATCACAGTGGTCTCCTGCTTTAACTATTTCTAAAGTTCTTTTATTCATTTGTTCACTGCTATGTGATCCGAACCCAGATGACCCCCTAGTGCCAGAGATTGCCCGGATCTATAAAACAGACAGAGATAAGTACAACAGAATATCTCGAGAATGGACTCAGAAGTATGCCATGTGATGCTACCTTAAAGTCAGAATAACCTGCATTATAGCTGGAATAAACTTTAAATTACTGTTCCTTTTTTGATTTTCTTATCCGGCTGCTCCCCTATCAGACATCATCTTTTTTAATTTTATTTTTTGTTTACCTCCCTCCATTCATTCACATGCTCATCTGAGAAGACTTAAGTTCTTCCAGCTTTGGACAATAACTGCTTTTAGAAACTGTAAAGTAGTTACAAGAGAACAGTTGCCCAAGATTGTTTTTTTTTCTGTTTTTTTTTGTTCAGTTCTTTTTTAATGGAGCATGTGTATTATGTGGCCAATGTCTTCACTCTAACTTGGTTATGAGACTAAAACCATTCCTCACTGCTCTAACATGCTGAAGAAGTCATCTGAGGGGGAGGGAGATGGATGCACAGTTGTCACAGCAAAGGAAGCAGCAGCATTCTAGCAGCATCCATTCTTGTTTAAGCCTTCCACTGGCAAGAGATTTGAGGTTACATGATACTTTATGCTCATAACTGATGTGGCTGGAGAATTGGTATGGAATTTATAGCATCAGCAGAACAGACAATGTGATGTATTTTATGCATGTCAATAAAGGAATGACCTGTTCTTGTTCTACAGAGAATGGAAATTGGAAGTCAAACACCCTTTGTATTCCAAAATAGGGTCTCAAACATTTTGTAATTTTCATTTAAATTGTTAGGAGGCTTGGAGCTATTAGTTAATCTATCTTCCAATACACTGTTTAATATAGCACTGAATAAATGATGCAAGTTGTCAATGGATGAGTGATCAACTAATAGCTCTGCTAGTAATTGATTTATTTTTCTTCAATAAAGTTGCATAAACCAAAAAAAAAAAAAGATTTCTTGAATTAGCTTTTCTTCTGCTTGGATTTTTAATTTTGGCTGCTCTCATACTGCTTGTTACACAGGCCTAGAGATACATGATTTTTCTATTCGTATTTGAGAAAGAAGGACAGGATAGCAGAGAGGGTTTCTGCTGCTGTTGAGAATATTGTACTGTTTCGCTATATCTTTTCCTGAAAGAACCTCTCTGTAAATTAGTGGGATACATAAGGGGTTACCCACTTAAAAATGGATTTTTTTTAAGCTATGTGTTTAAATTTTTTTTTTACAAAACAACCTTATCACCTTCAAAGTACTCTCCATTACACTTAATACATTTGTCAAATCTTCTATTCCATTCTTGGAAACATTTATCAAACTCATCTGTTTGGCTGGCTGAAAGCACTTTTCTATTTTTTTCCTTCATTCTTCTGTCTTCAAATTGCTGTCTTTTCATGTCCTGCTGTGTTTTTGGAAGCCAAAAGAAGTTACAGGGAGTGAGATCAGATGAGTAAGGTGCATGGGGCAAGAGAGGCATGCTATTTTTTGCCAAAAACTGGTGCACTGAGATAGCTGTAGGAGCAAGTGCATTGTAGTGGTGGCAAAACCAGTCCCCCGTCTGCCACAAATCAGGCCTGCTTTGTATCACACTGTTACGCAATCTTCTCAGCACCTCTAAATAGAAAGCTCGAGTAACAGTCTGACCTGCTGGAATGAACTCCAAATGCACTGAGTGGACATTTTGTCTGTTCCAGAAGTTGACGGACATCCAGAACAAGGTTTGTCATCCGTCAACATTTCACCTTTTTATGAAAAGAGAGAATCACTTGTACACTTGAGTTTTTCCTATAGCACTGTCCTTGTAAGCTGTGTTCATCACAACAGTTTCTGCGGCATTTTTCCTGAGCAGGAAACAAAATTTCACAGCTGCACACTGTTCTCTAAATCGACCATCACAAAATATGAGGATTGGGTGAAACTGCTTTTATGAAAAATTCACTGTGACCAAAGAGAAACTTCCCAGTTGATGCCACTGGGTGGACTAACTCAGAGCAAGTTGCGTGATGCTCGCCAGCAGGAAAAATGCATACTATGAAAGCCTTTCCATCTTGCCCAGCGCAATTCTCCAATTTTTGGGGGTGGGGGTGGGGTGGTTCTCCGTTGTATTGCCAGTTTTGCTCTAGGATGAGCAAAAAGGAAACCAGCTCTAAGGCAGCAAGACTCCAAACATTAGAATGGGATGGTAACTTTTTTCTCTGAAAATATTGTTTCCAACGGAAATGTTTACAGTGATGCTTTCAAAAACATTCTGTTAAAAGAGGTATGTTTTATTTTTCCACAAAGAAATCTGGTAAATAGCCCTGCACTGGTGCAGCAATGTGGAGGGTTCATAAAAAAGACTTCTTTGTCTTTCCTTTCTGCTATCCTTAGCATTTTACTTTTTAGCCTTTGAGTGTGAAATAGTTCTAAAGCTACAGGAATCACAACCACATTCAAGTAGGAAGACTATGGAAGTGCTAGTACAAGCCTGATCTGTCCAATTAGGAAAGTAAAGCTTTCTAACATTTAAAATTTTTCTTTTACGGGCAGAGTCACCAGGTTTATAAGCGAAAGGGGCTGCAAAGTAGAGTGTCTGGCAATAAAAACTGAATAAATCATGAGTCCTTGATTAGAACAGGCAGCCCCACACAAAGCTGGAGTTCTATTAGCATGACAAAAGGGGAGAGTAGCTATAATGCAGATAGCTCATTTAGTTTCCATAGACATCAAGATCTTCATCAAAAGCACGCACTCTCCTCTCAAACATATACACTTTTCCTCACACTCACCCAAGCACAGTTGAAATTTATCCTCTCTGTTTTTAAAGCCTATGTGAATACCTCAATAATAGCATTACCAGGTTCAGAAACAGGTTGGTCCCTCTCTTCTCTAAGGCCTATGATCTCCTTCCATGAAAAAAAAATTATTGTATCTTGGTGTGTAGTAAAAACTGGACTAAACTTTGTCTTTGACCCAGGATTCTGGTAGATAACTCTAAGACCTTAAAATGTTATGTCCTATATAAATGTGTTTGTTTTCCTGGGGAGTTTGGGTCACACTGGATATTCAAAAAATATGATTTAGGGTTAGAATTGGCAAGCAAAACAAAAAACTAACAATGTGATTTAGGGCAAGCATTTTTGATCATGTGTTTTAGTCTACCTGGAAACAGATGAACCATTTGGCCAATCAGTCATGCCTAGATAGTGGAGCCCCAATAAAAATTCTGAATACTGAGATTCAAGTGAGCTTTTTGGGTTGGCAAGAGTCCATGTGTATTATCATTCATCAGTGTCAATAAATGTAGCCACGTCTCAATACTAGGAAAGTAGTGCAGCCAACATAGGGGTAGGACAATGGAAACTCTAAGTTTGAAATTGTCTATGCACCTTTTTCCTTGACTGATTTTAATCTGTATCATTTCCTGTAATAAACCATAATCATTAGTATAAGCTCAAGAAGACAGAGTAAAATATTGTAATGAAATGACTGGCTCATCTTTTCCCCACGACCCTTCTATAAGGGGATGTCCAGTTGCCTACAGATGGGCTTTGAGTCTCCACTCTGCACTCCCCCCTCACTCACAATGATATGATTTTTTGTTCTTTGATGCCTGATACCTGATCTCTTCAACACCTCAGGATTACACAGGCTGGTGTGCTTCTTCCATGTAGGCTTTGTTGCTTCTGAGGTAGATGGCCGCTTGTTTATCTTCAAGCCTTTAAGACCCCAGACGCTACATCTTTTGATAGCCGGACACCATCAGCTTTCTTCACCACATTTGCTTACGTACACGCTTTGTCTTCAGCAATCGTGTCAGGAAGGTGAGCATCATGGAATGCCAGTTTAATAGAACAAAGTGTTCTTGCATTGAGGGAGTACTTGAGTAGAGGCCCAATGTCCATCTGCTACCTTAATGCTAAACATATAAATATATGAATGTAGATCTATTTTCCCATATCATATATTAAAAAATTTATATATGTACATGCCTGTATTTAGACCTCTATAAATGCCGTTTGCCTCCTTGTTCTTTCCTCTGTTTCCTTTTACTTTCCTCTTGTCCCACTATCATGCTCAGTCTTCATTTGGGTTTCAGTAATTCCTTTCGGTTACATTGCCCTTGATAAATTCCTACCCTCCTTGCCACCGATTTTGGATCACTTGTCGTCCCCTTGTCCCTGGGTTTGTTAACACCACTTCCTTTCCCCCACCCCTACCCCTCTCCCATGTCTCCCCAGAACCATAGGTCCCATTGTTTTCTCATCCAGATTTTCTTGCCAACTTATCTAGATAATCCTGCAGAGATAATAATATACACAAAAACAAGACAGAGCAAAACAAAGCAACAAAATAAAACAAAATAACAACAACAAAACCAATGATAAAAAAAAGAAAAGCCTGTAAATAGTTCAAGGTTGACCTTTATGAGTGTTTTCCAGTCGCGTCTGATGGGGTGGCATGCTCTGGCCCCAAAGTCTATTTTTGGTATTCCCTTGGGACTTCCTTGCTCTGCTCCCCTTGCTGTTCTGTTGCACGCCCTTAATGTTTTGCCTCGGTGTGGTGGGGTCAGATCAGGCACAATTCCCACACTCTGTCTCCAGTGTTGTCCCCTACAGTGCTATGGGTCAGTGAGGGATGTCATGTCTCATAGTGGGGCTGGCCGTATGGTCCTCTTTGTGCATTGGCTTCTCTGAGCAGGGATATTGTCCTCAAAGCTTGGTGGGCCAGGATGTGTTCCGGTCTCTCTTCCTCCCCCTTCATTTGCTCCTGTGTGCTCTGATCAGACATGTCCCTCTCCCTGAGCTATAGCTTTAGTGCTGTCCTCTGAAGTAAATTCTTCTGCGGGGAGGGACGGCTGTCCATGTAGCTGGGATTGGGGCTAGCCCCTCAGACCTCCCTACTGGTTCCCTGCTTCGTGCTGGTATGTTGCTTTCATATTTTGGAGCACTGGGTTGAATATCTGGTCCCTCTTTCCCTGTGAAGGTATAAGCAATACCCTCCCTTTGGGTGGGTTAGAGCCCTGTTCCCTGTACCCATTTCTTTTTTCTTTTTTTTTTAAAAGACCACATATTTCTTTGAAATATCCAGAATAGGCAAAATCCTAGAAATAAATAGAAAGTACATATAAGGTCACTATGAGTCATAGATGATTTGATGACACCTAGCAACAATAAAAGGATTGGAGAATGGAGGGATAAGAGGTAGCTGCTAAGTTGAATTAATTTCTTTTTTTTAATTTAATCATTTTATTGGGAGCTCTTACAGATATCATAATATCCCATAGTTCCATTACCTCAAGAATTATTGTACAATTGCTACCACAATCAGTTTCCAAAAATTTTCTTTCTTCTTAAACTCCTTGATATCAGCTCCCCTTTTCCCCCTCCATCCCCCGCCCTACCTGCCAGAAGCCCTTATTATTCTTATTATTTTTTGTCATATCTTACATATCTTACACCATCCAATATTAATTTATTTTGGGATAATAAAAATATTCTAAAAACTATTATAGCACAACTTCCTGAAGATACTGATAATCACAAATATATACTAAAATATAAATATACATATATTAAAATTGTATATATTATACTAAAATATACTGAAAACCACAAAATACAAGGGGTGAATTGCATGATATGTAAATTATCTCAATAAAGCTGTTTTTAAAAAAATTAAATTTATTTAATTCAAGAGGGAAAATTTTCCTTCTGTAGCTCTAAAGTATTTGCCAAATGCAATTTAAACTTCTTGTCATTGATTTTAAGATTTTTACTTTTTTATCATAATTTCAGTCTTTACGTTGTCTAATATAATGCATGTTTTCATCTCAGAAATGTTTGAATAATCACATTTAGAAACTGTAGCCCACAGTTGTAACCTGTACAACACCTAGAGAATTATACATATAGCAGAATAGTTACAGACATATCATTGGACTTTTTCTTTTTCCTCACATCTGGTCAATCATGGACACCTCTTCAGTTTACTTTCTTCTTTTTTTTTTTAAGGGTAGCAAGTTTATTGGAATAAAATTCATATACCATAGAATGCACCCATTTAAAGAATACAATTCATCAATGTGGGTTTTTTAGCCTATTCAGAGTTGTGCAACTGCTACCACAATCTATTTAAGAAATATGTCATCGGCAGCGTCCGCACTCCGCTGACCCCACACCCGTCTCGGTGTCTGCAGCCTCCTCCACTTCCTTCCTGGGCGACGAGAACCAGCGGCCAGAAATCCATCATGTCTATCCTCAAGATGCACGCCAGAGAGAGCTTCGACTCCCGTGGAAATCCCACCGTTGAGGTCGATCTTTCCACCGCCAAAGGGCTCTTCAGAGCTGCTGTGCCCAGTGGTGCCTCCACTGGGATCTATGAGGCCCTGGAGCTGCGGGACAATGATAAGACCCGGTATCTGGGCAAAGGTGTCTCAAAGGCACATCAATAAAACGATTGCGCCTGCCCTGGTTAGCAAAAAGGTGAACGTGACGGAACAGGAAAAGATCGACAAGCTGATGATTGAGATGGATGGAACTGAGAATAAATCAAAATTTGGTGCAAATGCCATTCTGGGCGTGTCCCTCGCTGTGTGCAAGGCTGGAGCTGTTGAGAAGGGAGTCCCCCTGTACCGTCACATTGCTGACTTGGCTGGCAATTCCGAAGTTATCCTGCCAGTTCCTGCTTTCAATGTGATCAACGGCGGCTCCCACGAGGCAACAACTGGCCATGCAGGAGTTCATGATCCTCCCCGTCGGGGCAGCCAACTTCAAGGAGGCCATGCGCATCGGGGCCGAGGTGTACCACAACCTGAAGAACGTCATCAAGGAGAAGTACGGCAAGGATGCCACCAATGTTCGGGATGAAGGCGGATTTGCCCCCAACATCTTGGAGAACAAAGAAGCCCTGGGGCTGCTGAAGAATGCTATTGGGAAAGCTGGTTACACCGACAAGGTGGTGATTGGCATGGACGTAGCTGCCTCCGAGTTCTTCAGATCTGGGAAATACGACCTAGACTTCAAGTCTCCTGATGACCCCAGCAGGTACATCTCACCTGACCAACTGGCAGACCTGTACAAGTCCTTCATCACGGACTACCCAGTGGTGTCTATCGAGGACCCCTTCGACCAGGATGACTGGGACGCTTGGGCCAAGTTCACTGCCAGTTCAGGGATCCAGGTGGTAGGGGATGATCTCACAGTGACCAACCCGAAGCGAATCGCCAAGGCCATGGGTGAGAAGTCGGGCAACTGCCTCCTGCTCAAAGTGAACCAGATCGGCTCCATGACCGAATCTCTGCAGGCGTGCAAGCTGGCCCAGTTCAACGGATGGGGCGTCATGGTGTCTCATCGTTCTGGGGAGACAGAGGATACTTTCATTGCTGACCTGGTGGTGGGACTCTGCACTGGACAGATCAAGACTGGTGTGCTGTGCCGATCTGAACGCCTGGCCAAGTACAGCCAGATCCTCAGAATTGAAGAGGAGCTGGGCAGCAAGGCCAAGTTTGCTGGCCAGAAGTTCAGAAATCCCCTCGCCAAATAAGCTGGGCAGGCAGACCTCTGGTAGTCCCTCCCCCGAGCCTGTCGGTGTTCTCGCCGCTTCATTAGAGTTGCCCCCGCAGCCAAGCCAGACCATCTGGACGCCTGTTGGAAACCCCCGCTTTGTGATCCTGTGACATCCCAACTCCTCGCCCTTCTCTCAAGCTTCCCACCAAGTGTCCCAGTGGCATCCCGAGGTGTCAACAGGCAGTGGTTTTGTTTGCAAAATAAACATCAGTGACCCCTGAAAAAAAAAAAATATGTCATCACACCCAAAAGAAATCCCAACGAAAGAGTAGTCATTTCCTGCTTCCCTTCCCAGTCTCATTTCTGATCTGCTCATGTGCTTTCTACTTCTATAAGTTTGCTTGTTCTGGACATTTCAAATAAAGGTGTGGTTTTGGGTAACTAACTTCTTTCACTCTATATAATATTTTCAAGGTTCACACATGTTGCAGTACACTGTGTACAGTGCTTTATCCATTTTCTATCGATAGGTAATATTCTATGGTTCATAATGGACTGTATTTGGGCTCCATTTTATTTATTCATTCTGCAATCACTGGACATTTGGGTCTTTTATTTTTCTGGTTACTCATTTACTGTCATTGAATCAGTGCTGACTTATAGTGACCCAATGAGTTTCTGAGACGGTGACTGTTTATTGGAGTAGAAAGCCCAGTCTTTCTCCCATGGAGCACCTCATGATTTTGAACTTCTGACCTTGCAGATCGCATTCCAACTTACTATACCTACACCACCAGACCTCCTTCCCTCCCCCACCATGATTGTTATGCATATAATGTTTGTATAACAAACTTTTAATGTGGATATATGCTTTTATTTCTCTTAGGTCAGTGTGATTGACATTACCCGGTCAAATGTGATCATCTTGTAAGATAATGAGAATTTTATTAGTTTGCAAATTTTATTAGGTTGCACATTCAGCAGAAATCTCAAGTTGTATTGACTCCAGTTATTGTATGGTGAATATCCTCCCATCCAGGGAAGTCAATCATACAAACCACCACATCTTTAGATATGGCTATAAGCAATTGGCATGACTCCACTTAACAATCTAATACATGGGTACAGCTATCATTTTTAACTCAATAGCATTATAATGTCATAATGTCACACAGTCATTTCTCATACCTTTTAATTACAATTTGTGAGAATTACAGTACATTTCTCTTTCAAAATAAGATAAAGAGAAGATGCAGAAAACCAAGTCCTCTTTGCGTTCCCCTGAAGTGCTTGTTTGTTTTTCGAAGGAAGCAAGTAAACTTAATGACTGAGACATTGCAGCAGGCCTGGCTCCCACATTTGGGGATTCAGGGTAGCCTTGCACCAATAATGCTGCTCAAATCTCCATTGTTATCAGAAGTCAGGGAAATAAACTGAAGGACACCAATTACTTCCTTGCTTCTCTTTCTCTTTCCCATTCCTCCTTCCATCTCTTCTCTCCTTTCTTCCCATCACTATTACCAATCAAATGCTGTTTTCCAGGAAACGATTGCAAGGTTAGGTCCTCAAGATCCCCATCCCAAAACCAACACTAAGCTCACTGTCATCAAGTCGATGCTGACTCATAACGACCCTATACAGCAAAGTGGAACCACCCTGTGGGCTTCTGGGACTGTAAGTTTTTCTGGGAGTAGAAAGCCCAGTCTTTCTCCTGCAGAGGCACTAGTGGCTTCAAACTGCTAACCTTGAGGATCACCACCCAACATGTAAGGGCTGTGCCACCAGCACTCCATCCAGACCCACCTTAGGCTTGATAATTCAATAAAAAGATACACAGAACTCAACGAAAGCTAGTATAATCACGTTGCTGTTATTAGGTGCTGTCAAGTTGAGTTGACTTATACGATCCTTTGTACTGAGAATGAAACACCTCCACTGGGTCCCAGCCTTCCTCACAGCTGTTGTCCTGTTTGAGCCCGTTGTGGCAGTCACTGTGTCAAGCCATCTTAACTAGGGCTTTCCTCTTAGTCATTGCCCTTGCACTTCACCATCCATGAAGTCCCTTTCCAGGGATTGGTCTCTCCTGGCGATATGTCCAAAGTACAATGCTATCTATTGATCTAGTTAGGAGGATTTTGGCATTTTTGAATACATTTTAATCAAAGTTGTAATCCATACTGATGGCTGCAACCCTTGATCTTCATCAGCAAGTGCTTCAAGTCCTCCACTTTCAGCAAGCAAGGTGTCTCATCTGCATCACAGGTTAATAAGGTTTCCTCCAATCCTGATGCCACATTCTTCTTTATAGAATCCAGTTTATCTGATGATTTGCTCAGCATACAGATTGAATAAGTATGAAGAGAAGAGAAAACCCTGACACACACTTTTCCTGATTTTGAACCACACAGTATTCTCGTGTGCTGTTCAAACCACTGTCTCTTGATCCATGTACAGGTTTCTCATGAGCCCAATGAACTGTTCTGGAATTCCCACTATTCTTAAGACTACCATAGTTTGTTACGATCCACACAGTCAAATGCCTCTCTATAGTCAATGAAACACAAGTAATCCTCTTTCTGGTGTTCTATGTTTTCAGCCAAGACCCATCTGATGTCAGCAATGATACCCTTTGTTCCACATCCTCTTCTGAATATGAACTGAACCTCTGGTAGCTCCCTGTCAAGGTGCTGTTACAACCAGTTGGATGATTTTCGGTATGTGATATCAATGATTAGTGAGTACTTCCAGTTAGTTAATCATCAGCTTGTTGAAGCATTTGAATTTATAGTCCATTAATTCCTGAAGCCTTGTTAATGGCTAAAATTTCAGGAAGCTAGGACTTCTTTCAGTACTATTGCTTCTTGCTCCTATGCTATCTCTTGAAGTGGTTGAATGTCTGCTGGGATTGGAGTCAGCCCCACAGACCTCTCAATTGGTTCACTGCTTCTTGGTGGTATATTGCATTTATGTCTTGGCACAATGGGTTGAAGTCTGGTGCATTTGTTGTTTTCTGAATTTTGCTATTAATGCAGGCATAAGGTTATATTTCACTGCCGTGTTTATTTGCATGTATAGAATGGCTAATGACTGTATTTCTCCATGTTTGTTGGCCACCTCAATGTGTTTCTGGCAAATGGTCTGTTCATGTCCTCTGCCCATTTTTTAATTGGGCTGTTTGTCTTTTTCTTGTTGAGGTATTGAAGTTTTCTAAACAAGAGATTAGTTCCTTGTTTCATACGTCATTGCCAAAATTTTTTCCCCCAAAGTTTGGGGTTCACTTTTTAGTTTTTTGACCCAAACTTTTTAACACATGTAAGTGTCCAATATTTAGAAAGTCCCCTGGTAGTGCAGTGGGTTAGGCATAGTGGGTTGGATTGCTAACTACAAAGTCAGAAGTTTGAACCCAACAACCTCAGGGAAATGATGAAGATCTCTGCTCCCATAAACATTTACATCCTCAGAAATCCATAGGAGCAATTCTACTCAGTGCTAAAGGGTCAAGATGAGTCCAAGTTTACTAAATGGCAGTAAAGGAATATTCTATTTTGTCGTCTTCTGAGTGCGTGTTTTTCATTATGTTTGATCATGTGCTTATGACATTTATTAGGACTCTAAATTTGTCCCTATTTTTTTAACTAATGGTCTTTTCATTTTAAATTTAGGTCTTTGACCAGTCTTAAGTCCATTTTTGTATATAGTATGAAATATAGATTCTGTTTCATTTTTCTGCAAATAGATACTTAGTTTTGGCAGCATCATTTGTTAGAGACTATCTCTTCCTCACTTAATGCATTTCAGCCCTTTATCAAGGACCAGATGTACATAGGTGGATAGGTTTTTCTGGGTTCTCAATTCTGTTCAATTCATCTATTTATCTATCATTATACTAGTGAAAGATTTTTGACTACTGTGGCTGTGTAGTAAGTTTTGTGATCAGGGATGAGTGGTCTCCTATATCTGTTCTTGTTCTTTAGTAATGCCAGGTTATTTGTGATCTCTTTCCTTTTCATATAATATTGGTGATTAATTTTTCCATATCTTTATATGGAAAATTTATTTTTCTATAAAAATAATTCTGAAATCTGGATCAGGATTACATCGTATCTGTAAGTTATTATATATACTTATGTATAAGCTGAATTTTTCAGCACATTTTTAATATAGTTTTTGTGGTAAAATTAGGTGCCTTGGCTGATATTCAGGTCACTTTATACTTGAGCATATACAGTACTTTGGGCAGTATTGAAATTTTCACAATACTAACTCTTCCTATCCATGAGCATGGCATATTCTTTCATTTATGTAGGTCTCTTAATTTCTTGTAGTATGTTTTGTAGTTTTCTTTGTATAGGTGATTCTCTGGATTTATTCCGAAGTATTTTATCTTTTGTTTTGTTTGTTTTTTACACTGGTGTTTTATTGTTTTTTTTAATCATTTTATTAGGGGCTCATACAACTCTTATCACAATCCATACATACATGCATTGTGTGTCAAGCACATTTGTATATTTGTTGCCATCATCATTCTCAAAACATTTGCTTTCTACTTGAGCCCTTGGTATCAGCTCATTTTTTCTCCTCTCCCCCTACTTCCCCCTCCCTCATGAACCCTTGATAATTTATAAATTATTATTAGTCATATCTTACACTGTCCAACGTTTCCCTTCACCTACTTTTCTGTTGTCTGTCCCCCAGGGAGGAGGTTATATGTAGATCCTTGTAATCAGTTCTCCCTTTCTACCCTACATTCCCTCCACCCTCTGGGTATTGCTACTCTTACCATTGGTCCTGAAGGGATCATCTGTCCTGGATTCCCTGTATTTACAGTTCCTGTCTTTACCAGTGTACATCCTCTGGTCTAACCAGATTTGTAAGGTAGAATTGGGATCATAATAGTGGGAGGAGAGAAAGCATTTAAGAACTAGAGGAAAGTTGTATGTTTCATCATCGCTACACTGCACCCTGACTGGTTCATCTCTATCCCACAACCCTTCTGTAAGGGGATGTCTAGTTGCCTACAGATGGGCTTTGGGTCCCAATCTGCATTCATTCATTCAATCCCCCTCATTCACAATGATATGATTTTTTTGTTCTGATGATGCGTGAGACCTGATCCCTTTGACACCTCATGGTCACACAGGCTGGTGTGCTTCTTCCATGAGAGCTTTGTTGCTTCTGAGCTAGATGGCCGCTTGTTTAACTTTACAGCTTTAAGATCCCAGATGCTATATCTTTTGCTAGCTGGGCACCATCAGC